ATCCTTCCTACTATAGTGGGGGTCGTCGAAGACAGAGTGAAGCACCAACACCAGCTGGTTCAGTTTCTAACTCACAGCATAACTAAAGCTCAGAACAGGCAGAAGCAATACGCGGACAGGAGGCGTTCTGAACGAGTGTTGCAAGTAGATGACTGGGTTTATCTTATACTGCAGCCCTATAGACAAGGTTCTATCGTGGGAAGGCAAGGTAACAAACTAGATGCTCGCTATTATGGTCCTTAAAAGGTGCTTGCACGGGTTGGGGAGGTGGCTTGCAGGCTTTCCTTATCAGCTGATGCTAAAGTTCATCCCGTCTTCCACGTTTCACAGCTCAAGCTCTGTCGTTTGGTGGTACCTCCTGCAACTCTACAACTTCCTACTTCAGATGAATTGGGTTCCCTCAAGCTCGCACCGTCTCAGATTCTGGCTAGGCGGTTAGTTAATCAAGGGAATCGGGCTGTGACACAAGTACTCGTCCATTGATCTCACCAACCTGTTGAGGATGCTACATGGGAGGAGCTGGCTCGATTTAAAACTCAGTTTCCCGCTTTTCTAGCTTGAGGAGAAGCTGTCTCTAAAGGGGAAGGGTTTGTAACAACCCAGTACAACTGGCACGCAGCTGGTAAGATGACGTGTAAATGGCGGCTTGTATAAATAGGAAGAGCTCAAGTTCTATTGGCTATCTTTTGACAACCTGTACAACTGTACTTACTTTACCAATTTTAGCTAGATAGCAATAAAATTAGAACTCTTCTCCTTTCGTCTCTCTCTCTTTTCCTCCATCTTTCCCTTTTCTCGCCAGATTTGCCATTAACGATCCTTACAATATCCCAGTCCAATATATTTTGGAGATAGAGGAAATTTGGCAAGAGTTGGAGAAAGACAGACAATTTTAACTTGAGTCATGCATACATCTAATGTATAGAGTTCTAAGCAACATATACTCATAGATATCGAAAAGACCTTCTCCATGATCATCGACAACACTTCGGGTTGCTAGAAATCATGTTTTTGGTAATGTCATTTTTACACCACTAAACATAGCTTTGATCTCGTTCTGATGATTTATCCGATTTGAGTTACTAAATTGTGTTTTTTTGTTGTTGCTTGCCATTGAAATACGCTTTTGTTGCAATAATCATCGAACTATACCAATCATTGGTGACTTATACATGACATTACACGACACCCACTATACATTAGCCTTATTTGGCTTCATGTTAAGTAGACTTGTTTAGCATGTAAACTAATAAGTAATAACAAATATGAAACTATACGTATCAACGAATGGCCCTTCCAATCAACCAAACCCTAAAAAGTTATTCTTCAAAAATAAAGAAGTGGAGTTTGGATAATTTGAAACGCAAAGGCAAAAGCAGGAGTTGATTGTGGAGGAGAGGGAAATGGTGATCCGTCGAATGTGAGTGAGGTGGGCACCCACAAAACAAAAGCATATTCCCTTCTTTTTCCATTTGAGACGCGGCGAGGCGTTCGTCTCCTCCCTAATTATTTGCTACGCCACTCCTCTCATCCGGTATTCGAATGAAATGAAATCCTCCAAAAGGATAAAAAGTAAAAGGCATCAACCTTTTGGCCTTCCCCTAATTGCACTCAACCTAATCCTTTTTTTTATCTTTTCAGAAATTTTTGTTTTAAAATGTTTGTATGATATTTTAAACTGAAATCATGGTTCTATATGTTTTTTGAAATTTGGTGCATGCCCCTCGGGTGGTGTTTTAGTGCACTATGACAATTGCAGGAGTCATAGAGTAGGTGTTGATGATGGCTACATTTATTTCGCATGCCCACCTGATGGTGTTTTAAAGCGATATGATGATTGTATGAGTCGCTTAGTAGGTGTTGGTAACGACTTCATTTATCTGGGATTTTTCCAGAAATAGCACTGTTTAAAAAAAATTCCAAAAATAGCACCTAAGTCCGAAATTTTCCAAGAATAGCACACTTTCCCAAAAACAGCTCCCTACCAGTGCGGTTTAGGCGAAAACCGCCACCCAGGGGCGCGTTTTTCGATGAAAACCGCACCCCCAGGGGGCGGTTTTGCAGACCGCACCCCCACCATGCGGTTTGGTTGCAGAGCGCACCCCCACCATGCGATCTGCTTTTTTTTTTTTTTTGAAAAATCCTAACCTAGGTGGAAACTTCAAACGGACGTATCTTTGTGTTCGGGTAATCTTCAAACGGACGTATCTTCATAGACACAATTTCAAAATGTACGTGGATTGATGAGAAGGGAAGGTAAGCTAATCCCAAAATCCTGTATATCCAAAAATAATTCCGGTTTTGAAAATTCATTCTAGTAAAAATTGTAGTCCTTAAAAAGTTATGCGAAATAAAAAAAAAATTCATGTTGTTTGGATTTTGGAGCACAAAGTTATGGTTGTCCAAAGTTTGTCGAAATCGGAAAAAAGCTCGTTCGGGGTAGCAAACGACATTTTTTAGGACGAAGGCAGGATCAAACCACCTTTGGCTTGCAAGATCTCAAAAAGTTATGCGGAATCAAAAAAAATTCGCGACGATCGGATACCTGAACACAAAGATACGTCCGTTTGAAGTTTCCACCTAGGTTAGGATTTTTCAAAAAAAAAAAAAAAGCAGATCGCATGGTGGTGGTGCGATCTGCAACCAAACCGCATGCTGGGGGTGCGATCTGCAAAACCGCCCCCTGGGTGGCGGTTTTCGCCTAAACCGCACTAGTAGGGAGCGGTTTTGCAGAAAGGGTGCTATTTTTGAAATTTTTCGGAGTTGGGTGGAAAAATCCCTATTTATCTCTCATCGAATGAAAAGGCTCTCCGTGATTTTGTCAATTTTTTATAAAGGTGTTAGTGACCATATATTAATGGAATTACTGGCATTGCGAGTTGCTCTTTCAATTTGTCTCACACATGATTTTCTCAATGTAAAGAATTACTGGCATTGCGAGTTGCTCTTTCAATTTGTCTCACACATGATTTTCTCAATGTAAACTTCTATGGTAATTATCAAACCCCTCGTTCAACGTATCCGGGAGAGGAATGTAGCTCATGGTTCGAGTGGTGCACTGCTTGAAGAAGTTTGAATGGCTATTCCAACTATTTCTATTTTTATATGTATTTTTACTCTCCGCAGGTACAACATGGTTGTCTGTCACGACTGTTGCTCTGCGGATTGAGAAATTGGAGGGTTCGACAATGTAAGAAAAAGAAAAGCACACACACGATTTGCGTGGTTCACTAACACAATGTGTGTTAGCTAGTCCACGGGCAGGAGAGAGCCAATTTCACTATACTTCGAGGAGATACAGCGAGACCCCCATGACTTCCAATCGTAGCGGCTGATAGTCCGATTTAAGTCACATCAAAATTGTCCATTTAGTGGCTAAAACAACTCTTTCATCGACAATTTGACTATTTATTTGTGTGGTGCTATATGTTTATTTCTTTTACTCTACTATATAATAATTTCATAGAGCCAAAAATCGTTTACGAACTTTAGTTTCCAATATAGATAATTTGTTTTTCCTGCGGACAATTTTGTTTTGTGGAGAATTGCTCGTTTCAATTTTGTATTGGATGGCGTACGTGGAACCCACTTCCAAAGTTCCAATGGCAGAGGGAGTTAGGGGGGCAGGCTGACGTGCCCCGCACCATATCCGATCTAATCTAAGAACAATATATAGAAGAGAACCTTGTTTTGTTCGTTCCATTGCACTCTCTGCTTTTTGAAACCAAAGTACATTCTCAGGCGATATTCCATTCCAATCACCAAATTATTTCACAAACCACTTTCTCCTGTTCTTCCACCCCAGTTGCTGGTTCATAATTTGATCAATCAAATGCAAGAGAATTCATCACATAATAATAATACAGCTCAAGGGTGATTTTATTACCTCTTCACTCTTCAGTGTTCCATGAATTTCTCTCGATAACAGCTGAAAACATATCCCTACATCATTGATGATAGGAGGATCCAAGCCTTGGTTTCTTACACTATTCATTTGCTCCAATCCCCGTCACATCAACATCTCATGCTACAAAATAGCATCTTCCACTAAGAAGTAAGAACTTGAACCGGGAAACAAGAAGGTAATATGCCCTTTATTGTTTCTATCATCTATCTATCTGGGCTCTCTCACCTAGGGCTGGGAAAATAGACCAGACTATTAGAAAAATCATGGTCCAAACTGTACCGCACAGTTTGGTCCGGACCGTAGACCGTTAAGTATGGTCTGGTCTGGTTCATGGTCTGTATTATTTTATGTATTGATCTCTTGGTCTGGTCTGGTCTAGACCGCGGTTTCTTGGACAAAACCGTGGACCCAACCGACTTGTCAATACGTGTTAACAACCCATTCGACCACTCTCACAACTCCCACAACAACACCCAAGTCTCAACCTTAGTTTTGTGAATCTCGTCCCTCCTTAATTCACAACCACATTTAACCAGAGAGTAGAGAATAGAGATAATTGTGTCTCCATATGACATTATGTTAATGTTTATGACGTTATGGTGCAAGTTGTGATGCTTTTACTTTGTATTTTTGTTATGTACTAAAATTTAGGATATCAAAATTATTCATGCATGTTAGGATTAATATGTTATGGCAAATAACAATTATTTTTCCTTGTTTATTGGTTCAATTTTTTGTGTGGTTGACTAAACAAATTATATTCATTTTTCGTTGAGTATGGTCTATCTGGACCAGATCAGATCGAACCAGACCGCACATGCGTGATCTGAATCGAACCGTATAGTCCATGGTCTGGTTTGTGATCTATACTTCAGTCTCTCACTTTGGACCATAGTCCGTATATATGGTCCGGACAAGACCGCACTGTTTCCCGGCCTTACTTTGACCCACTTGTGAATCACATAAGCAGCCAATTGAAACGTACGGAAGCAGACAAACAAACATCGAAGAGAGAGATAAAAGCCGCTCTACCGGCAGACTCGAATTTCGTACCCAAAACTCGCCGGCGTAAAATCCCGGCGTTCGTTTTTCTCTTCCTCTTATAGCATTATTATACAAATTAAAAATACAAAACAGGAACCGAGAAAGAAAGAAAGGGAGAAGGCAGTTCACATTCCAGTAACCGCCGGGGTCCATCTTCCTTCCACTCTTGGCTTTTCTTCCTCAATTTCCTCTCTTCTCCACCGGCAAAAACTCGGCTTCGGCTCTTCTTTTTATTATTTTTTTTTAGTTAATCTCTCTCTCAGCAGTAATTTATTTTCTTTAGTTTTCTCTACTCAGACAAAAAGATTCAGCAGCTTCTTCCGATCCCCGCCGCTGCTCTCGAAAGTCGTCGTCTCCGATTCCTCCCCCAAGAACGAAACCCCCGTCGCCAGTCTACTCACCCGCCGCTCGCCGGAGGATCGACGATTCTCGCTCCCGGCTCCCGAACTCGGCCACAGCCGACGAACCGATCCAACGGCGGAGAACCTGTCTTCTGATGACTCATCGGCCCCTGCCTGCCTGATTCCCGGCAACGCCTGAAGCGATCCTCCGGCGAGCACCGTCTCCACCGCATCCTGGCACAACCGCCAGTTCCCGCTCGACAGCAGCCCCACCGCCCCGTTCACCGGGTTCACCGTCCGGCCACACGCCTCGAACAGAAGCGACTGGAACAGAGCTGCAAATTTCAAAATCGTCAAACCTAGGGTTGACCGAAATTGAAAAATGCAATTCGATCGAAAAGAAGAAAAAGGAAATGAAGCTAAGAGAACCGCGGACCGGAGCGTTGGGATTCGGGTACGGCGGAGATGAAGGCGAGCAAATCGCTGCGGCCGAAGAATTTGGCGAGGAACAAGGTGGCGTGCCCCTGCGCTTGCGGCGTGGGAATCCAGCGCAGGGACGATCGGAGGACGCAATTCTCGCCGCATCCCTTCCGCAATACGCGGCAACCGTTGCAGCTCATCGCTGTCTCAGGCGAATTCTGCTGATGATTGCTTGCTCCGGCGGGGTGATTTTCGTAATTTAATCCAGAGATGGGAGGAGGAGAAGAAAGAGTGAGCTGAAGATGGTTGGAACTTGGAAGGGAGTTGGAGAGTGGGAGTAATAAAGAGAAATGAAACCCAGGAGGTGAATTTTTTAAACCGTGGTTAAGTTAAGGGTTAAATAAAAACATGGGGCGAGAAGAGATTGATTGATATAGAAATGAACGGTAGAGATTGGACGTGGGGCCCAAGACGTGTGGTGGTGGGAGGGATGGGAATAAAAAAATAATAATCCTTCCAAACTCTGGGCACGAGCGGCTCCGTGTTTTCGCGTCTGATTTGTTTTGTACGCTCGGGAACGCCGTTGGATCCTCGTTCTTTTAATGTGAGCCGTCAGATGATGAATGGCGGGACCCACGGGTTCGTGGGAGATTTTTTTTCCCGAAAAATTCGCTTTTTTATTTTTGTTTGTTTATTGGAAGTGGAAAAGTGTCACACCCGGTACCTAAAATTTTTATGATTTTCCAAATTTACCCTCATTTAGTTATTATGATTAATTAATTAATTAGTTAACTCTATCTAACCCTAAACTAGTGCGGCAACAGGTGAGGACTTCTCCCTCTCAATACATGTGGATATATATAAAGACTAAACCTAATGGCCAAACCGGAGGGACGAGAAACCTAAGCTAATAAATCTCAAAGCGGCAGCGCGTCTTTACTCCCTCCTCCTTCTTGCACGATCAAACACCACCGCCACCTACAAGTGCCCATCACCGATACCTCCTCCCTCGGCACCACCCTTCCTCTCGACTAGAAACCAGCCCGAATCCCTCCCAGGTCACCGACAACCAAAACGGCATCCGGCAGAGGAAATAACAGGAAGACGAGAGCTGGTTGACACTGATCATTTGCATGCTTTCTCGGTTCGTCGTGCACATGAGCTCCAGCTCATTATCTCCCGTCCTGTAGTTTCGCCGGCAAGGCTCGGAGTGCTCGAACGACGATCCAAGCTAGGAGATCGACACTCCTAAACCCTCTATCTAGGAAAAGCCACGAAATAGAGGTAAGAATCGAGCTTCCTTAAATATAATCAATGGGCTGGGTGGCAATTTTGAGAACAGCAACGAGAACAGGCGGGTTATTCCAATAAAGAGGGTTATTTTGTTATTTTTACAATGCCACAGGTGGAACCAACTATAGATTAGTCTTGGTTTGGAGTAAGAATGGTGAATGAATCACGTAAATGGAGCTTGTCCATTACAATTACTAAAGGAAGGTAGGCATGGTTGTATATATATAGATATAGTTAGTTGTGGCACTCGGTCTCATTTGGTTAACCTCATGGATTTGAGGGAATAATCCATGGAAAGGTCAGTTGGAGTTATATGTGGGGATATGTTATGCATGGGAGTTTCATGCATGTGGTAAAGAAAGAATTGGCTGGGACGTAGGTAGTAGTAAAAGGAACGAAACATGGAGGATGGGTTTAGAGACAAGTTAGCTTACTAATTATCAACGTGGATTAACTTGTAATCTCTGTTAGCTTGATTAGTCAAGTATTCTGATGGCGTAGTTTCATCATGTTAGTGTATCGGTGGGTAAAAGGATTCGTAAAGCGTGGCGGTCAACCCCTGCAACGAAGTTTAGCTCAAGTTACCCAGATTGATTATCAAGGTGCGTTGGTTAAAGGGGCTAGTTAGTATTTCATCCTCGATTACTTATTACGTGCTGAATTGTGCCTTTTTCTTGAATAAATTGAGTGCTAGTTCTGATATGTTTAAGTTTTGAATTTATGATTTGATGATTATGTGCATTCTTAAGTTCATGTGTACACATATCATCAATTTCTCTACGGAGAAATCATATTAATATGGAAATTATAAGTTTAGATCACCTTCTGTTGGAGGGGATCATCCTTGACAAGCTTAGGTTGTCAAGCAAATATATGTTGGATACGTCTCTCCATGGTGTGAGAGATTGATTCGACCAAGCAAGGATAAATCACCCAGATAATAAGTAAGAACAAGCAATAACACGTTTAACCCTCACTTAGCTAGACACGCACGCGGTACAGGATCCCCATTGTGCGGGTGTTTCGCCTCAGATAGGCGCATGATCCCCATTGTGTGGGTGTTTTGCCTTAGATAGGCACAGCTTACATGTTAAAGCTCCCCATTGTGAGGGTAGTCCTGTAAAGATATGTTATGACAAGTTTACCGGACGGTCGCGCTAGCTAAGTGTAGGGCGGGGCCCCATTGTAAGATAAAATATGTAAGTAGTAATATCAAACTTCTTTTCGAATAAACTGTGCATTTTAATTAGTTATAAGAGCATTGCATGTGCATGGTTTTATTTGTATTTGAGGGATGATAATAGGACTAGGACTGACCCCACGCCCGCACTCAGGAGCTGCAAGGAGGCAGAAGCAACTGGACCACTTGTTAGAAGGAAGCTGCTGCTAGAGATGTCATCGTCACAAGGGTTAGTGATCGTCGAAGATTCCAATCGAACTCATGTACTTTTATTAGTAGACTTGAGACTGATGTTCATTCATGATTTGGTTAAAAAGGATTTTCCTACGGTGGTTTGAAATGTTTTCCATTATTCTTTTCATTTGGAGTTATTTTGACTACTCAAGGGCATTTTGGTAAAAGTAGTGCTCGGCCGAGCTAGGGTGTTACAAAAAGTAATCCGAGTAGAGTACGGAACCTTTGGGAAACTCACTAATTAACACACACTTTCTAGTCGCCTCGTAAGTGGACTGTGACACAAAAGCCGCAACTCTCTCTCTCTCTCTAGACTCTAGATTACTTCCAATAATCTCTTATTTGAGTGAGTAGCCTTTCTAATAAATTGATCACAAACTCAATTATGTCTTCTCTTCTTTTCTTTTTAGAATAAATTAAGTGGTAGAAATTGTAAAACTGAGTTTGAACAGTATAATTTAGCGATATAATATCTTATGCTAAATTTTTTGTCTAATTGTTTCCTACAACTAAAATCATCTACCAAAACTTGACTATCATAAGTGGATTTTGTATCCAAATAACATATATGACTCATTCATAGAGGTGGCAATTGATTGGATTCGTGAATTCGCGGATTGGATTGGTGGATCCATGGATCAAATAGATTGGATCCAATGGATTGGTGGATTCATGGATTGGATCAAATGGATTGGTGGATTGATCCATGAATCCAAATGACATAAAAGGCTTGGACCAAAATGTAAAATTTGAAAAGTTTTGGTACTAAAATGTCATAATGAAAAATTTTAGGTACCAAAATGTAATTTTCCAATGATATTTTTCGTATAAAAATATAAATTTTAGGTACCAAAATGTAAAATATAAAAAATATAGGTACCAAATCGTAATTTGCCATTTGGATCCATGGATTGATCCATGAATCCACCAATCAAATTGGATTTGGATCAAATGGATTGGATTTAATTGGATTGGATTAGGTGGATAATTTGGTGGATGGATTGGATTGAATTCATGGATTTGGATCATAATTGCCACCTCTACTCATTCACCCAAATTTTGATTAGTTAGCGAGGGTATGAAATGCAGTGCTCTCCAACATGCACATCATGCTTAGCGCTATACACAGATAAATAGAAACCAAACCATGAGAATACGAGACACAATTTATTTGATTTTTCTCTTTCTCGGCACTACTGTTTTTACTCGGATATCGAGTTTGCAACTATAGTGACTTATATACGAGAGTTGTTATTTGTCGTCCGTGATTTGATTATTATTTTTCTTATTGATTATTGACTCAAATGTTCAAACTTAGAATGTGATTGATGTTCTCGTACTTACACTAGAGCCAGGAAATTAGCCAAGGCGGTGTCTTTTGTCATATCGTAAAAAATAATTAAATAAAAAAAAATCAATTCTAAACAAAATAAAAATCAATAACATAATACTCAAAGTTTGTACAATTCAGGGGAAGCAGTGGGTTGCAAAACCACAAAATGATCAGGCAGAGGGCTCTCTGGCTCAGCCAATGGGTTTGGAACCAGTGGTGATTCAGAATGTGGTAGAAGATAGACCTGTGGAAAGCAAGGGGAAGGAAGTGTTGGTTAGTGAGGATGACCCTCAGTTGCAGGCTATTTTCGCAAGTCCATCCATTATTGAGGGAGTGAGGATTGCTCCCACAGAATATGGAGAAGTCGTTCTTGGCGGTGGCTGGGTCTCCATCCCCCAAGTTGCCTTCAGAGGATAAATTTCAAAGAGTGATAATGGGGCAAGGCCTCGGGTCTGGTTATCTCCTGATAGTGCCAAAAATTCTATCCAAGCTACAACTTCTTCCTTCAGTGTGCTGAGTAAGTTGGGGGATAAAGAAGCTAGTAGGGTTCTGGAAACTCCAAAGAAGAAGGAGGTTAGAAAGGATCAGTGGAAGGGAGGAGGGGGGAAACCTCCAACTTCTAAATGAAAGTACTATTCTGGAATGTAAGGGGGTTTAATAAACCCTCCAAACAAAGGGACTTGATGCAAGTCCTTTGTAGGAATAAGGTAGATATAGTGGCGGTTTTAGAAACTCGAATAAGGGCAGATAAGGCTAAAGAGGCAATTGAGGACGTGTTTTCAGGATGGGAGAGGTGTATTGACTGTATTGATTCTAAGCTTGGTAGGGTTTGGCTGTTCTGGGTTCCTGAGATAAAGTTGCAAGTGTTGAAGCCAGGGAAGAACTTTGTGCACTATTGGTGGAGGACCTGAATAAGGATAGTTTCTTTTTAACTGCAGTATATGCTTCCAATGACGAGGCAGAGCGTCTAACTACTTACAAAGAGTTAGCCAAACTGAAGGTTGCTGGACACCCATGGATTGTAGGAGGAGACTTTAATATAGTGAGAGTGCCAGAGGAGACTTCAAATCAGATAAGCTCTAATACTAGTATGGATGACTTTAATAGTTGGATTGGTGAGATGGAACAGCTTGATTACAGGACCACTAGTCCTCAGTTCACATGGACAAATAGACAGGTTAATCACCCAATTGCTCGGAAGCTTGACAGAGCATTGGTTAATCTGGACAGGATTGAAAAGTTTAAAGACTGTGTTATGGAAGTGTTAACTGCTCATTTCTCATATCATTGTGGGGTGCAGGTACGTACCACTGCCCCAATTAAA